ATAAGGATTTATAGAAGGAAGGGGGTAATAGTAATGATTTATATGAGGAAGGGGGTAATAGTAATGATTTATATGAGGAAGGGGGTAATAGTAATGATTTATAGGAGGAAGGGAGGTAATAATAAGTATTTATAGGAGGAAGGGAGGTAATAGTAATGATTTATAGGGGGAAAGGGAGGTAATACAATAGATCACAATCCTGAAAGGGATAGTAGAAAGAAAAAGGTTGAAAACCCCTGATATAATGGAATTCAAATATTGTTAATTTACTTCTGTGTTCTCTTTCTCTCTCTGTTGAGTTTTTTCTCCAGTCCTGCCTGATTAGAACGTAGATTATCAGTTTGAATCAAAATCAGATCGACAACTTTAGCACTGACTTGTAGAATATCTGGACGATCTTCTGGCTTGACTATAATCAAACTGAAATAAAATAGTGTATTACGATTTAATTGTCCTCAAAGAATCACATCTACATTTTAAAATCAATTTTAATAATAAGGATTTATAGGAGGACGGGAGGTAATAATAAGGATTTATAGGAGGTAATAATAAGGATTTATAGGGGGAAGGGAGGTAATAGTAATGATTTTAATTTTGCCATTACAACATATTCCTTTAGCAGCGGTGTTCAAAGTTTATCAGGTTCTCTTAGTAACAGTGTAATTAGGTGAGGTATGTAGTTTCCATAGTTTCCATGTAGTGGGATATAATCCAGGTAAGGTGATGTCTGATAACCAGACAATAGTACAACCGTGGACCAACCACTCTATAGAATATAACCCAGAGTTAGGTGATGTCTAGTGTTTCTATAAACAGACTATAGTACACCAGTGGACCACTCTCTATAATACAACCTAGAGATAGGTGATGTCTGGTGTTTCTATAAACAGAATATAGTACACCAGTGGACCACTCTCTATAATACAACCTAGGGTTAGGTGATGTCTGATGTTTCTATAAACAGAAAGATAAAGTTTATAATGCAATATGAAGAGTATATATTGAGGTCACTGTGACATATCAGTAAAATAAATATTACATCTAAACTTGATATTCACTGCTATTTATTGACTGACCTAAATGTATATAATAGGGGCTGATACAATAAGGTATTATATTTCACCTGAATGGCTGTTAAAAAGCATAGACAACAGTTTTAAATACAGTCCAACACAACAAGATATTTCTACACATTGTATGACCTGTATATCACGTGAGACGAAGTTATTTCTGAGAAATTGAAACATGTGACATGATAATTCTGAACGTATTATGTGTTGAATAGTTTATATAGATATCTGGAGATTTATCTATTGTGATGTTATTATTTCAACTAGTGACAGACAGAACAAGTTATTGTTAATCGTCTCTAGAAGGAAGTACTGAAGAAGCCATTTTTAAGAAATCTAAACCAGTATATAATGTGACTATTAGTAGAAATCAAACAGAACTTCTTCAGTGTATTTTAGAAGAATAAAATGGCCACAGCTTCAGTGAGTAACACACCAGAATGTTCTATTTGTTGTGAAGGTTTTAAAAAGCCAAAAGTTTTACAATGTGGTCACACTTTTTGTCTAGGCTGCATAGAGACATATATTGGTGATAAAACAGAAACATTCCCCTGTCCGATCTGTCAGCAGGATGTTAAGATTCCAGAAGGTGGTGTTAAGATGTTTACTACCAATTTCATAGTTGAACCTTCACCACGAACAGCACAAGTTACTGGTACATCATCACCTACAACACAAGTTACTGGTACAACATCACCTACAACACATCTAACAGACAAAACCTCTTCAAAGGTAAAATACCACTGTCCATGTCATAGAGAGAGACCAATAGACTACTATTGTCTAACTTGTCACTGTGTGTTATGTCATAAATGTTTTCTGAAAGAACACAACGTTCACGAGTATTTAGATGTAGAATGTGAAACTGTGAAAGAAAAAGCTACAGAGCTAGTTTTAACCTCAGAGAAATTCATCCAAAATAAAATCAAAGACTTGGAAGAAACTCATGTGACGTTAGTAGAAGCGAGAGAGACACTCCAGCGATTTACTGAAGATGCTTGTAGCAGAATAACCAAACAAACTGATAAAATTATAGCAGATATAAAGGCTAGCAGTGAGAAAATCATGACAGACGTCAAAAATAAGTCTGAAGAATCAGAATTGAAATTGACCAAAACTGAAGAGAAAATTATGATAGATATAAAAAATTTCAAATTGAATCTGGAGACGAATTTTCCTTCTTTAACAGAAGATTGTGATTTACAAATTTTAGTTTCACTTGAGAAAATAAAAGAGCTAGAAGAATTGTGTAAAGATGTGAAAGTTCAAACACCATCAGTGGTTCAGTATCTTGATTGGAAAGAAAAAGATTTTAGTTTAAATATCGACATGTTAGGATCCATGGTGTTAAAACAATATCACATACCCAAACTACACGAGTCCAATCCATTTCAATTTTATTTTAATATAAATGATAATAAGAAGGATGGTAGATTGTATTATAGTCAAGACAAGTTTAGTAACAGTAACTTGGTATGGAGTTGTGGTGTAATGAGGTATAATGGTTATTTATATATTTATATTGGACTATTACCAGATGACAATCCTAGATTAAACTATTGTATTATTGATGGTCAAATCAGTTTATTGAATATTGATGATGACAGTAAATCTATAACTAATACATACAGTAAAGAGAGATTAGAGAGAGGTTATGTGGGTTGGTATTTGTGTTGGGAGGATCCTATCAGTATCACCTGGTCTAAACTCAATGATAAAAACAATGGTTATTTAAATTCTAACAATCAGTTTGTGATTCAATGGGATATCACACAGATCAGAGAAATATCATTGAAATAAAGTTTCTTTCACAATTCAATCTTTTATCACTTGGTCAATCTTCATTTAATTTGTATTTTATTGTAAATATCTGTAAATATATATTATGTAAGATTATATTTTCTTGAATTTTGACAGTGGATCTTGTTAAAGTTAATTAAAAACTGGATTGTCTGACTAGACTGTTGACTAAACTGTATTTACCGGTACCAGTATGTCTGACTAGAGCTCTAGACTGTTGAGTTGATTGTATCTACCAGTCATGTCTGACTAGAGCTCTTGACGGTTGATTTGACTGTATTTACCAGTCTTGTCTGACTAGAGTTCTAGACTGTTGATTTGACTGTATTTATCAGTCATATCTGACTAGAGTTCTAGACTGTTGATTTGACTGTATTTACCAGTCATGTCTGACTAGAGCTCTAGAATGCTATTAGGCTGTATTTACTAGTCATGTCTGACTAGAGTCCTAGACTGTTGATTTGACATTATTTACCAGTCATGTCTGACTAGAGTTCTAGACTGTTGATTTGACTGTATTTACCAGTCAGGTCTGACTAGAGCTCTAGACTGTTGATTTGACTGTATCTACCAGTCATGTTTGACTAGAGTTCTAGACTGTTGATTTGACTGTATCTACCAGTCTTGTCTGACTAGAGTTCTAGACTGTTGATTTGACTGTATTTACCAGTCATACCTGACTAGAGTTCTAGACTGTTGATTTGACTGTATTTACCAGTCATGTCTGACTAGAGCTCTAGAATGCTATTAGGCTGTATTTACCAGTCATGTCTGACTAGAGCTCTAGAATGCTATTAGGCTGTATTTACCAGTCATGTCTGACTCGGGCTCCAAACTAAACAGAAGGAATGATGATAAGAATAAGAAAATGTCCAAAGTTTATAAAATAAACACTATTTGTAAGTACAATACCTGTTAACTGTGTCTACCAGTCTTTGAGAGTAATCCCCCCTTAATATTGGTTTATAGTCTGCTTCAACAATCTGAAAAACAAATTCAGCACGTTAATAAATAAGTTTTCAAAGAGAGGCCCCTATAACCCCTACCGTAAATAAAAAAAATGTGTTAAAAGAGGTATTGTTCAATTCATTGATTCGAGGTTTCGATACTAAAATTTCCAGGGAAGGTGGAGGGGGTTGGGGGACACAGGCTGTTCTTTCACTATGTAAAATGACGCCAATTTTATGGAATCAAAATTATTTTAAAATGAAACGAAAAAAATATATATATATATATATAAATATTTTTCTTCACATTTTCTGAACAACAATAATCCATTTTCACCTCCAAAAATAAAATGGAGCCCACAATAAAACGTACGAAAAAACCGTGAAATTTATTACTATCACGGCAACGACAGGGTCGTTTGATTTTCTGAGTTACTTTTTTCATGGCGTCCATGATTCAACAACAATTCTGCCAAATTGATTCGTTTTGTAGTATGAAAACCTTGAATCCTTAAATTTCTTTATTTCTGGAAAGTACAGTAGGGTGGTTGGCTTGGAAACCCACCCATTTTTCTCTTCATAATACCTTAATCTATAATGCTACAAGTCAGCATCTGATGAAACTGATCATCTTCCTACAGTGTTTATAAACTTTTCAATCCTCCCTCACCTCCACCCCATATCATAGTGAATATATCTACTCACTTACATACTAAAGATATTCTTGATGAGGGAGGAAGGTCACACTTGTTTTAAAGACCTGGCAGTCTAATTAAATTAGACCGAACTTTAGTTCCGTTTTTTTTGCTTTTAATTTAGCCACTATAGTTAGGATCTTACGACGGCCTTCTTGAACATTCGTCAGTTTGATGATACCACCAGCCAATCAGATTTCTACCCTCTCCAACGCTGGGATTTGTGACACAAACAATGTCTAATGCTTCTCGGAATACACCTTTTGTGTGTGTCACAAAATCCCAGTGTTGGAGAGGGCTGAAATCTGATTGGCTGGCGGCATCATTAAACTTACGAATGTTCAAGAAGGCCGGCGTTAGATCCTAACTGAAGTGGCTAAATGAAAAATAAAAGTTAATAAAAAAAAAAAACGACAGTTTGGCCTAATTTTAATTAGACTGAAGGCCTAGTGTGTTTCCTTACCCCACTACTGGAAATGAACTGAATTCCATGCCTACCTTAGTAACCAATGACAACATGTTAGAACTATAAAATGGAGGTTGAAGAGTACACAGTTGATATAAAATACAACCAAACGCCCAGATGTCAGCTTTTTCACCGTACGGTTTATGTTGTACTATTTCTGGACTGAAAGATACAACAAAAATATTGCAGGTTTTCTCGCTGATGCTACATTAGGTGGGCAGCATCTTCAGAGACTGGGGGCACAAATAATAGGGGGCAAATGTCGAGGTTGCGATTTAAAAAGTGTAAGCACTGTAGAAGCGTTTTAGCACAAACCTCTGAGCATCTGCAAAAAAATATTCGAAAAAAAGTATCGATTAGGCGCTTTCGGACAAATATATTGCAGCCAAAAAACTTACATCTTCAGATTTTTCAACCTGGTTTCCACCTATCAGTGGTACAGGTCCGAGGGGTTAACATGAAACGTCTAGTCATTCGTATAGGGCAATGAGCCGAGGCCCCCTGTGTGCCACAGACTGTACATGTTAGAGATCCTCGACAGTTGAAATTTGAAAAAAGAGAAGGGTAACGCCGCTGTCCTGCCTTTCACTGTCTATGCCTGACATTGCCCGTCTCCTCCATGAGACCATAAGGTGCAGAAAACTAAGCCGTAAAACTCCATCTATTTCATTTTTGATTTCATTGTGCGAGTCAGAGAGTCCACATACCTAATTATGTTTATTGGGTATTTTATCTTTATTACTCGGAAACCTTCATTACACATAACTCATGTCTTTAATGTTGATCTCTGGTAGAGATATATTTTACTTACCAAGAATACAGAATAGTTCCCACCACTGACGTCATTTTACTACAGTCATTACGTTTCTGTTTCGCTAAACCAAAATCAGCTGTTGAAGAAAGAAAGAGATCGCACTGTATAACGATGAAAGTTAAAGCTGCGATTACATGTGTATGCACACTCCAATTTAACATAAAACGGTCCATGGCAAACCCTTTCCAAAAGTCTGTTTACATGCACAAAGGATGGCTCGATGTAAGATATTTTGCAATTGTAGACGGCTACGGACAGCTGGCGAAGTGTGCGAGACTTCCTCACCCAATACCACATGTTTCCTTCTTTACGTCGAAGATTTTGCGGAATCGTACGGACACATGGAAGCAAGTTTTGAGTTTGAGTTGCACTAACAGAAGTTTTCTTCATTAAATCAAAGTTTAATTTAGGACAGTTGGTTAATTACTAAGAATATTTCTCAAGAACAGATTTAACAAAATATATTCAGATACATAAAATACCAAAATCATCTGAAGTCAAGTTTTGGTGAAATTAGACCAAGGATTTTATCTTTGTCAGGTTTCAGTAAGTTGTTAAGACTATACTTACTTATTGTGATTTTATCGTGTTCACCCAACATTACATTACCAGGTGTCAGATCGCGGTGGACTATATTTTTCTCTTTATGAAGATATCGTAAAGCTAATACCATCTACAAACATTACGATATATATACATAAAAAATATTAAAACAGAACCTGAAACATGTTCTAACTCAGATTTTCACGCTATGTGATCTTTAGACAACTGACCTATTTAAGCTTGCGTCCCTACTGTTTCAATATGGAGCATTTTCTACCAAGAAAATATTTGTTATTACATTTTAAATATCAATATGGTCAGTAATAATGTCTATTTCAGTGAGTCCACATAGCTAACAATGTATATATATTTAAAGATGGGTTTCCTTATTTTTGAATGTCAAATTAAGCAAACTATTTGATTAATTAGTGTTTCTAATGAATTATCATGTATTCTTAATCATATCATTATGTTCTTATTGCATATAATTAAGAGTTTTAGCCAATCATAAATGCCCATGTACGTACAGTCTGGATAAACAAAAAAATACTTTTGGACCTTTCTTGATCGGTCATTCATTGGAATTCTGCTGGTAATTCTCTTCTAATTTAGCTAATTATGAATTAATTATGGACATGTGAGACAAACTGGTATTTTTCCAAGTCATAAGAACACATCTACTTTCTATTCATATACATATTAGCAATTTCATAAATAAAAATAAGGGAACCCATCTTTAATATTCAGGTCTTTCAATAAGATAGTCCTTTCAGAGAGTCCACATGGTTAATGTATTTTTTATGTGAACTTGGCATTCCTTGTAGAGAATCCACGTAGCTAATAATATAATATATTTGATATCTAGGTCTGTCAATAAGACATCCTTTCCCTTTCAGAGAGTCCACATAGCTAATGCATATATGGTAATAAAGTTTGTCCACTCTCTCCTTCACAATCAGAAATGGGTAAAGTTTAGCTGCTTAAACCTTGTACCTGTAAAAATATGTCCCAAATCCTTTTTTCTGAGAATCGTTCCTGTTTTTCTTTAAGGGAATTGACATGTTCAGAGAGTGGAGCTCCTTCAATAAGATCCATAACTATATACAACTTATCTCCTGTAAATACAATAAGAACAATTTATTAATCTTTATGCTTATAATGGCAAAAAT